TCAATCAGAGGACTCACATCAGGCAGCTCACAATGGACTATATAGCTCCAATGGTATCCAATGCCTCTGACCTCCATAGGCATCTGCACTCATGTACACATAACCATGAGTGTGTGCATGCACACACACGTACACAGACATAGAACTTAAAAACCTTTATGTAGACAGGTTTTAATGGTGTATGCCTTTAGTTCTAGCCCTAGGGAGGCACGGCAGGCAGGTGGATCTCTATGTTAGAGGCCAGGCTGGTCTATATAGCCATTTTCAAGAGAGCCAAGGCTGCATAGTGAGACATAAGACCCTGTCTCAAAAACAAACACACAAACAAATAAAAAGCTCTCATCTGTATATACTAGTAAGTATATTTTTACATATTTCTTTAAATGGTAAACATTTTTCATGATTTTAAACAAAGACTGGTGGTTATTCATAACAGATACTAAAAAGATTTTGAGCTGTGTAATTCTCACGTCTGTGTTTTCCAGACCGTTTGGAGGGTGACAGATCCGAAGGTTCGGGTCAGGAGAATGAAAATGAAGACGAAGAATAAAGGACTCTGTGCAAGCACTTAGATGTTCTGAAATTTGTATATGACATTTATTATATTTTTTTTCTTTACAGAACTTTAGTGCAATTTAAGGCTATGGTTTTTGGAGTTCTTCCCTATTTTTTGGGATAACCAAACATTGGTTTGGAATGAGTGTGTGCATGAGTTGGGAGAGTGTGTAAAACAAAACAAGCAAAATGTTTTTGAAACTTTTGCCGTGTATGGAGTGCTAGAAAATGCAAAGTGCAATACTTCCCTAACCCTCAGATGTGGGAGCTCGGATCAGTGTTGAAAAGTCATTTTCATTGTTGTGAAAACGTTGGTTCAAATAAATTTCTACACTTGCCATTTGCATGTTTGTTGCTTTCTAATTAAAGAAATTGGTTGTTTTAAGATCCTAAATTTGACTTTTTATTTCATTCTTTGCTACTCTGACCCATATTTTCCAGCCATTTATCTAACAAAAGAAGACTTGTTCTGTTCTCTGCATTTAGAAACCTTTTCCATCTTGACCTCTGTGTGTGTGACCAGATCATGTAAAAGGCCTTCCCATTTCTCTTCGCAAGGCACTTTCCTTCACCTTGCACTACTATCTCACGATTTGTGGTACCTCATCTGAATCGTCACTGAGCCTTAGGGATGGTTCACACCAACACAAACTGAAGGTGCTGTCTTCTGGTCCACTTCTCTGTCCATGTTCCTGATTTCACCACATTTAGCTGACTGTAGCATCCACATTCACTCCATGCCCAGGCCTGCGTGTATCATAGTATTTGCCCTGATCTGCTCCATAGACATAACCTTTTCCGTCTCCTGTCTGCTTGTGTTTCCATCCATCTGATTACATACACACATCTCTCTAATCCATTTACAAAAATAAAGTCTCTTCTTAATGACAGGTTATTGTGTATTTATATTCTTCCTAATCATCATCTGCACAAACATCCTTGGAAGCTCATATTAAAAGCCTCCTCCAGAAAGCAGGCCTGTCAGATAGGAGAGAGGCAGTTGGTACCTTATAGATAAAAATACTTTGACCTGCAGAGTGGTGTACTTGTTGTTTAGTGAGACAAAAGGTCTACTTCAAAAGCAAAAGCCCCCCTGGCCCACATCTGGAAGTGGCTTTCAGACCCTGCACAGCTACCTGACAGATGGAAAGCCAGAGCCAGCACAGATCTGATATGGCCTGCCATAGGCATCTCCAGCATGGGATCCTCTGTCAGTATTTGCTATACCAGCTGCTTTTGTTGAAAGCAGTTCACTTTTAGTTTAATCAGCAAGTAGCTTAACTGTTCCTGTCATCTTCAGCAACCTAAATATCCTGCCAGAAGAACTGACTGAACCAGATACTGAGAATAAGACATAACCTGTCTCTAGCTGGTCCATGAACATGCTCAAAGGTAGAACAGCACAGAGCCATCTCTGTGGGAAACAGACTTTCTCTCCACAAGACTACCTGCTGCTGCCAGAAGATAGTTAGCTTTGCCATGGAAGAAAGTAAATGCTACATAAAACCAGTAGCATGGATTTGCTGGAGGACAGAGTGCTAGTCAAAGGGTAGCTGGTAGAAAAAGGTTAGAACAGAAGCAGATGGCAAGTGTCTACAGTGGCACAGTATGCGTAGGGATACAGCATTCTGTGTGTGTTCTGTTCATCTTCCTGCAAACTTGAAACTGTTCTATCAATACCAGCAAAGCAATTATGTAAATAACTGGTGTTGGTTCTTAGGAACAGATCAACTAGACAAGGAACAGGCCAATTAGACAAGTAGTTAAGGGTATAGCAAAGACAGAATTAAGTCCTGACCACTTCCAAGAGTCAGTGAAGGAGAGGCAGAAAGTTAGGAGACTGGCCCCAGGGTTCACGTACACATTCCAAATAAAAGCTGGTGTCAGTCTGAACAGGTGAGGAAAGAGGAAACGATGAACCTTGTGCAAAGATGGTTGTATCCATGCTACAATCTGCTACTCCATATCTTTGAATGTGAAATGAAGGAAGACTGAATAGGTAGGTAGGTAGGTAGGTAGGTAGGTAGGTAGGTAGGTAGGTAGGTAGGTAGGTAGGTAG